TGTATGTGGGTGTTACTTGAGCGACCTGATATTCCAGGCAGAGCTGGTTCCAATGTTAGATGTCCTATGTGTCGTGCAAACACGATGGTGCAAGATATCTCATATGTCAGTACCATCAGACAACTGACTGAACAAGATAAAGACTTGGTTGTAAAGGTAATAGGCTGTTGTTAGCATAAATATCAAGATTTGGGGGCATCTCGTTAGAAACAACTAATTGTACCTACACCTGTATACAGTCGCGATATTTGTAGATGGAATTTTCGAAAAGAAATTTGTATACAATTTTATAAACAAATTTTTATTTGAAACTTTTATCTACCAATATCTCATGTATACATGTTGTTAGTGTACATATGGCCAGTTGTGCGATGTGAATATGATCCCTGTAAGTACCTATAGTTTGTAGTTTTGCACTATCCTTGGGATCTCTGAAAGTTACTTACCCATTTTAGGGAAGTCATTCTACGAAGATTGAAGCTGCTGTTCGAACGTTAATGAGGATCCAGAGGACAGATCCACTCGCCAAAACTCTTGTCTTTTCAACAGTAAGAAATAACATTCTTAATTTTACTAGAAGACAGTGTGTAATATGGTCGAATATGATGGTACTCTACTGTAAGATATTTTATATTGTTTTAGTGGCAAGATGTACTTGATGTTATTTCGCGCGCTCTTGTGGAAAATAATATGAAGTTTAGGAGTATCAAGAAAAGCAAGGATTATGAGGTAATCAATCGTTGTTGGCAACTATGCCGCATACAGATAATGTCATATGCTCATAGGAAACTTGATGTTTGTTCAAAGCATTTGGAAGGTTTTAATCTGATCAGCCAATCATGCTTGACTATATTGCCTATAACCCAGATTGCCTGAACTACATACATTTTCTGTGTTATATTTCCTATTCTGAATGTCTACGCTGGCATTTATTACTATTTCCACCACACAATTTTAACTCAAACAATTTCATTTTTACTGCACTAAACGATGAGCTGATTGAATTTCAAAACTCATTTCAAGATTGAGTTTTTGGGGCCGTTTACCGGCCGTGAAAAGGCCGTGAAAAACCCTACATTATCATAGGATTTGATAATCTTGAAGTCATCACGAGAAAGTTCATGTACCCACGCATGGAGTTGAGTTTTGAGTCTGAAAAGTAAAATATTTTGAGGACTGAAATTGGCGTGAAATTTATTGCCAGCCAATCCATGTTTTGTATCTTGTACTCTAGTCAAGTTTAGAAGAGTTCAAGACATCTGATGATATTCCTATCCTTCTCATTCCTCTTCAATCTGGTTCAAATGGTTTAAACATCATTGAAGCAACTCATGTCATTCTAGTTGAACCATCTCTCAATCCTTCGTTAGAAAGACAGGCTGTTGGACGGATACACAGGATTGGACAAACAAAGTATGTAATCTTCTACATAAAAATCACTCGATCTGTGCATTGTCCGCCATTTTTGTGTGTCAGACTGCACGGATAGAGCGGACAGTAGCAAGGGAAATAGTGAATTCAGTGAAGTAAAAACACAGTGATTATAAGCTTTTTTAACCGCTCTAAATTTACACTTACGCTTGACCTCTTCCTCTGTCCCCACCATTTAAATGAATTTCAAAAACTCATTAATAATTCATGAAGCAATTATCCAATCTTGAGTAAGAAATTAGTCATGTGCATACGTCTTTATACCAGCTAAAGAACACTTTAACAAAAGACCATTGTTATGCAAACTATATAAAGATTTTTATATAAAGGTTTTTATATAAAGATTTTTATATAAAGATTTTTATATAAAGATTTGACTTATTATGCATACGTTTTTGAAGTCATTTAAAAACCTCGCGGGTCGTGTTTTATTAGGTCTAAAGCCACTCGCGCTGCGCGCTCGTGGCTTTAAACCTAATAAAACACTCCTGCTCGTTTTTTAAATAGTACATAACGCTACCTTCACATAAACTGCCTATCTTTTACTGGGACTGGCCTTCAAGCTAGTTTGGCTTCAAATTTCCAGTTGGAGGTAGCGTTCCAGTTGGAGGTAGCGTTCCAGTTGGAGGTAGCGTTCCAGTTGGAGGTAGCGTTCCAGTTATATTCAATGCTCCCCACACGGTTTGCCACTAAAAGTGTCGAACAAGGCCTGGTTGCATGGCGGGAGGAAGGCTATTTTAAAAGTGAAGATTTTGTGAAAGTCAGCAGCATGTATGGGCACGAAGTCATTCGCTCGAAACGTGGAAGTTTTCATACCCATTCAGGTAGTTCCTTTCAAAACCGCGAACGGGAAAAGCGACGTTGATTGGCAGTATTAGACAGGAAAAGATACGATTGTTTCCGTTAGGAAGGTTAAGATACGACTGTTTTAATATATGAGTAGCGTCATGCTCTACTGTGAAAGAACGATAACTGCGAGTGGTATCTTAATGTTTCTAAGTGAAATTCGAACCTGTTTTTCTGAAGTACAGGTGTAGGTCAATTATTTTTCTCACAAAACGAAAATCAGTAGTTGCACTCCTGGAGAGTCAACCTCGTTCCCAGGGCTTTTCCCTTTTTGTCATTGGTTGCTGGAGAGTGGAATTAATGAAATAATTGCACTCCTCTTAACCAATCAGATTGCAGTAATTTTGTCATGTATATAATAAAATATGTTGTGTTTAGACCAACATTTATTCACCGTCTGTTAATCGCAAATACCGTGGAAGAAAAAATCATGAGATTCCTTCAAAACAAAACTGAAACTGGACTAAGGTATGTACTCGTCCTGTCCACTGAAATACCCAGATAATGCGCTATCTGGAAGGCGCAGTTCTTGGCTGCATGCGAATGAGGTAATATAATCAGGGGCTGGTCTTACGAATGGCGGATAGCACTATCTAACGGATATATTTTCAATGCTGATGGTCAGAAAACGACGTATATGAGAATAGCAAATTTTTAAAATTGCTCAAACTGGACTTCTACGCTTTTTATTCTTACTCGACATGATTTGAATGTGTTTTTATCCAAAAAATGTTTGAATATTTACAAAATTTCTTTTTTCCCCAAAATCAGGGGTGTCCCCCCCCCCCCAGCTTGCCAACCCCCTGCATCTGACGTCCTAGCAAACTAAAAGTATTCGACATTCAACACACTCGGCCTCACAAATCGCAGTGTCTAAAACGTAGCTTTAAGGCTGGGTGAAACCATTATTTCTATGGGTGAAACCATTATTTCTATGGGTGAAACCATTATTTCTATGGGTGAAACCATTATTTCTATGGGTGAAACGAGAGCCGATGAGCCGCAAACGAGAGTTTCATCAACTCTTGCTTCCATGAAACACGAGCAACACGTGAGGTAACTGACTAACTGGACCACGCGTTGCGGTCAGAGGAGAAAAAACTCATCAAAATAATTAGCTCAAGGTTGATAAGAATTGTTGAGAATGTAGCCTTGTACCCAGGCGCTTTGATTTACCACGCTGTTGCGTGACCCAGGCGTGGAAACTGCAGTTGGGTACCAAAGCGCCTGGGTAACAAGGCTGAGGGTGAAACTCGAGCGAGGGTTCCAACTTGTGAACCACTCTCCTCTGCAGAAGTGTTTTTACGGTATATATAGCCTTCAATTTAAACGCCTCTGCGGAGGAGAGAGCTCATGAACTCTCATGTGTGTTTGAACGGCGCTATAACAAACATCAACTTGAATTAAGGTGTGGTACGCGACGAACAGATGGAGAAAATGTGCCCCTGACAGTTGGAGAATTGACCTCGTTTTTCCAGCCTACGGAATCTCAGCCGATGTAAACTGTAATATCGTGAATTTACTTCAAGTTCGGAGTATTGGTATTTGGGTCGAATGGTCTCACTTCAAAGAGTCCTGGTCAACCACAATGCAATGCGTGCGTTTGTTTACGTTTCTGTTACGTTGTGGGCCAGACGTTTTGTGTGGCCTCGAAAATGGCGGCAACAATTGATCAAAGTAACGGGAAAACGTGAGCAAAAGCGTGCATTGCATTGTGGTTGACCAGGACTCTTTAAGTTGCCATGGTGTTTTACTGCATTATAAAAATACAGTTTCCATATTTTGTTGTTTATTTTATCTGGGATATTACGACTATTGTACTTATCATACTTATAATGAAAACATAAATTTAATATATTATATATTTTTATCTATATAATTGAATATCAGTTTATTAAGGAATGTTTTAGATTGTACTTATAGGATTTCATGAATTATAATAAATTTGGTTACTTGTCCGTTTGTTAGCCCCTGGCGTACAACAATAGTGAGCTTTAAACAAGTCACGTGTTTGTCAACGCAACGAAAATTGGTAGAACTAATTTTGCCGGCATTTTGCATCATAGCGCTCGTGTGACGAAGTAAAAATGTTGAAGATTACCACAAACTGACACAAACACAGTTTTTAATCCAGTTTCTTGAGCAATCTGACGTCTGGGTTCACAAATACGTCGCTTGTTAAAGGGATGTCTTATTTTGAAAGAACATTTAAAATTATATATAAACTTTATATTTTGCTTGGTTTTATTATTTTGCCCCAAAACAGCGTGCATTCTGCCATATTGGATATGCATCCATATGCATAAGTAGGGTAAAAAGCGAAATTTTTATCTTGCAAACCACATGTCATTATCAATCATCCTCGTCCCCAGGGGAGAGCAATGAGCGTGGCCCTGGGGACGAGGATGCTTATCAATATGAAACTCGATTTTCCGAAGTCTTTTTAGTACTCAATTAACTCACAACATTTTAAGAAACTTTTCGAAGAAATTTAATCCCACATGAAGAAGTTTTAACAAGTTTACCCTGCTTGTGACGTCATCAAAAACTCAGTTAATTACGTCAATTATAATACCAAGATGGCGGACTGTTTTTGGTCAAAATATTTTGAAAACCAAGCAAGGTACGAAAAAGTTGTAAAGGGTCTTCATATATAACTTGAAAAGTTCTTTCAAATAAGACAAAGTTAATTTTTATAACTTCCTAATAAAGTAATATATATTTTACCTTGCATATCTATAAAGTTGTTTTTCTAATTTGTCTATAGCTCTTTCTCTACTCATTTCTTTACTATATACACAATTGTAAAGTAGATATTTCAGCGTGGATTTTATTTCACCATCTGGAGGGGAGTGAAGAAGTCCTCTGGAGCCACCGACAGCCGCAAGAATGTTCCTACATATTGCGTAATAATTGTGGTCTTGAGCTTGTCCTCGGCACAAGTCTTGTGGCACAAATGTCAAACACTGGAAATGATCAGTAGCGCAGAAATCTTCAGTTTTACTAACTGCGGCGAGAGAAATGTCTTTATTATTTTGTATTAACGTGAAAAACACCAGGTTTTAGTTCGTAACAACACCAGGTTTAGTATAAAAACCCCAGGTTTTAGTTCGTAACAACACCAAGTTTAGTTCGTATTAAGACTTTAGATTCTTAACGCCTGGTTTTATCACTGGAAACAACACCAAGTTTTATGGAATACGCATCGAAAGCTTTAGATTTCTCACCATGTAGACTCGTACGAAGTTGGTAGACTTCAAAGCAACTTATTTAGATAAAACAGTTGCGCAATTTTAAGTAGTATATAGGTGAGGAGGGTTCTAGTTCACCTCGCTGAGCATCGGGGAAGTGAACTAGAACCCCCTCGTCTACCATTTTAGAACACTACAATTGATTCCATGCCACTTTAGCCACAAATTTTGCGAATTTCTCGGGAATGGCTGCAAAGTTAGCAGGGTTTAGAAACTTGAACATTGCCATTGGTTTAGCCAATCAGAACGTTTACTTCCAAAACCTGATTGTGAAATTGATAATCACGTAGTTTGAAATTGCCAACGACCTTGCAACAGAAATCAAAATTTCCAAACAAATATGCTAGCGTTATGCCTAGTTCAAAACTTGTGATAACTCGTACGCTTAGTTGTTACGAAAGCACAGGAGAGAACAAAGGTAACTAAGCATTATTACATGAGTAAGTCGTATTTGGACAATTCTAATGCGAAGTTACCTTAATTTGTTCTATTGCATGTTTTGGTAAACTGGAGTACTGAAATTGCACTGAAACAATAGCAACTAGGCAGTAACTATGCATGCGAGTTATCTCAAGCGGAGTAAAGCCACTGTTTATATGGAAAACTACTGGCTGCAAACCAGATCTTAGTTTAATTTTAATTATCGAGTTGAGATAGAGGTGTGCATCGGATTGGAGGTTTATACAATCCAAAAATTGGTAAATTTTTTGAAATCCGATCCATAATTGTCTGATCCGAATCCGATCCGAGTTTGTTAAAGCGTTCCGATACGAAAAATACCCGAAAAAACCTTCAATAAATTAAAGTTTCCAATCAAGTGTATAACTGTATATCAATGTCAAATTTCTAGATTCTAGTCTTTGCAGAAGCCAATTCAAAATCTCACGTCAAAAGAACTCTAATATTTTATTCTTTACAAATATAGGGTTAGCCAATAGACAAAATGGAAAAAGTTATTAAACGGAAGTGCCTAAGACTTTAGTTTTCACAGCAGCCCTGGTAATTGTGTCCGTCCAATGATTAGACTTGCTCCAAGTCTCTCTTTCATTGTCATATCGATCCACTATAGTGTATATTACATGACGTAGCGCGGAGAGGCGGAGCGAGAAAGAGAGACTTGTCAACTTCGGAAAATCTCGGTTCAAAACTGAACCGAAAATGCAAGACTTGCTTTAATTCTTTCCTTCAATTTCTTTCTGTATTATTTACTATAATGGAACTCATGTTATTTACACTGTGCTAGATCAATACATATAAACACTGACAGAAAACAATTAAAGCAAGTCTTGCATTTTCGGTTCAGTTTTGAACCATAGTTAATAGAAGAGATGGTTTGGAAACTTATTGGAATAACAATATAACTCATTATCTATGTTAGTCGACGTTTATTCATAAATCTGGCCCTTCACCGTCACGTGCGTATTGTATTTGTGCCCAACTAACCAATTGCAATGTTTTAGGAAAGTTACCTATCCGTGACGCGAACAATAGGGTAAATTGGAAATTGCTATTGGTGGATTTGGCAAAAATACAATAAACACGTGACGGTGAAGGACCATATTTATGAATAAACGTTGACTAACATAGATAATGAGTTATATTGTTATTCTAATGATTTCCAAACCATCTCTTCTATTAACTATGTTTGAACCGAGACTTTCCGAAGTTGACAAGTCTCTCTTTCTCGCTCCGCCCCTCCGTTCTACGTCATGTAATGTACACTATAGTGGATCGGTACTATATGTCAATGAAAGAGAGACTTGGAGCAAGTCTATATCCAATGATGAGTTCAAGTCATATTACATCAGCACGACGTTTGAACCTCGGGTTTTAACCAGGGCTTAACCGAATTTAATGCGGAATTTCATGTATTTTCAAACGCCAATTATTAGACTTTAGAGTTTACCCCTGCGAATGAGGAATTTTTAAGCTCCACAATCCCACTTATCCCCGATTATAAGGTATATATTATAACAAACATACTTGCAGGGAGGTGAGTCCGCTAATACGCTAGGTATGAGATAAAGCAGTGAACTGCACGTAAACTTACCATAAGTGTGATTAATAGCACTCATGTCTGCTATAAGAACATGTTCACAATCAATTAACTTCACATTGCCATGATTATCCAGTGCAAAATTACTCATCACAACATCATACATATATAAAGCCATGTTATCCTCTGTTCTTGTGAAAGTACGCGCCAACTGAATGAGTTTAATGCTTAGTTTAACACGTTCTTGCCAAGGACGATCTAATGCCGACGATAGACTTGGGCCAACATATTCAACCACAATAACCCTTCCACACGCACCGTATAATGCTGGCAGAAAATTTGAATATCGCTCGGAAAATACCTGAAACAATATTAGATATATATATAATGTTTATAATCACGTGATTTCAGTAATTAGGTTTGGGAGGAGGTCGACATTTTCCATTAAATCCCAATACCAGGCAATCTCGTTCCCCGAGCCTGCGATCCTTGGGAAGGAAACGAAGGAATACCAGGCCCACTGACCAGGCCCAACCTCGTACACAGGCTATTTTCTCTTGTGCTCGGTGCCACGGCCACCCTGGGTAAGAGGATGTACCAGGCCTAGCGGGCAATACTTAGGTAACCAAGGATTTGTTTGAGGTCGTCCATAATTACTATTTACAAAAACGTGTGTACAAATAGTGCTCTGACTTTTCCACTGTTGCGTTTTTCATACGTACGTATACGCACGTAAAACTTTAAATCCGTTTAAATGTTACTTATACCGGGTAAAATACAAAAAAAAAAAAAAAGCAACAGAATTTAGTGTTCCGCAAGTTTTAGTATGCATTTGTTAACTTATTTGTAAAATATTTAAAAAATAGAAGGATTCAAAGTTTTACGTGCGTGTACGTGCGTACGAAAAACGCAACTGTGGAAATCAGCCTTTTCCCAGAGCGTACCCTTATTAAAGCCCATTTTCCACTAGGTGAATTTTTTCGCGGGACGCGAAAAACAAATCCTGGCAAAGTAATCATCAGCGAAAAAATTTCCCGCGAAAAAGTTGGATCAGCTCCTGCTTTTTACTGTTCGCGCGAACAAATTCACCTCGTGGAAAATGAGCGTTAAAGCCGGTTTTCCGTGAATTTTTTCGCGCGAAGTGACCTCTTTTCTTTTTAAATGTAGTGATAATTTTTTCTGTGTTGGTGTTGTGTACTCAGGTGAATATGATATTTGTGATGTTACTCTGAGTGTATATCCACACTAGGCGAGCTTGAAAAATATGCCCGGCCACGGTGGGAATCGAACCTACGACCTTTGGAATACTAGCCCAATGCTCTGCCAACTGAGCTACGCGGTCAGGACGGTTCGAGTAAAGCAAGCTCAAGCTCTCCCGGTGTGGATATACACTCAGAGTAACATCACAAACATCATCTTATTCACCCGAGTACACAACACCAACATAGAAAAAATCATATTACTAGATTACATTGGTATCGAAGGAACTAGATTCTGTTCCGAAATATCACTTACTCGAACTGACCTGACCACGTAGCTCAGTTGGCGGAGCATTGGGCTAGTATTCCAAAGGTCGTAGGTTCGATTCCCACCGTGGCCGGGCATATTTTTCAAGCTCGCCTGGTGTGGATATACAGTCAACAATGATCATAATAATACATTTACAGTAAACCCCAACAGTTATTAACCCGTCCCCCACGGATCGGTTGTGAACAGAGGGTTGTGAAAATGAACATTGATATCTTGACTAACTTGCAAATGCTAGAAAATTGCGTATTTTTAATCAAGATTGCCATGTAGCTAGATATGCAAACACTCTGGCTTCATTTCGCTTCACCTGATCAGATGTTAGGCACGGTTAGGGAGAGGGTTGGCTGAGCAAACTTCAGCTTTTATTGTCTCTGCGACAAGACAATGATATCAAAACACACAATGCTATAGCGGATAGCTCTCCAAAGCGGCGCGAAAAAGCACCTATCTGATATGGAACGTACAACTTTCAGAAGCTGATCTCGAAACAACATCTCTCCTTTGCAATATAAATTTCCCGGAAAATAGCGTTAAGGTACGGATAGGTTTTTTCACGTCCTACGGAAAGTTATCCAGTGTAAACCTCGGTGAGAAATATATGGCAAAAGTATGAAGCTTCTTCCACAATCTATGTGTCCTCTACCTGTAAAAACAACAATTCTTGATTAAAATGTAGGTTTGTTATTGCCATGATTTTCTGATCCAACCGTACCACATTCATTTTATTTTTCAACTTGTTTTCCACCAGCGAGGCAAACTGTTCACATGGGCATTCCATAAACTGCATAACTGCACTTAAAGTTACATTAAAATATCATGTTTGGAAAACAATAAATATCTGGAAAATGAATGAAAGGGAAAATAGTAGAATTTGAGATTTTTAGTCAAGGAATGCATGTGGCATTTAATGATAAGAATGTGATTAAAGGCCATGTTACACGGTGCAATTTTTCTTGCAACTTGCAAATGCAACTCTACTCTTGAGAGATGTTAATTAGTGAAATCAGTAAAACATCAGCGGAGTAATGAAGACTCGTATTTGGAATTTTACATCTGCATCTCTCAAGAGTAGAATTGCATTGCAAGTTGCAAGAAAAATTGCACCGTGTAACATGGCCTTAAAGGTGCCACTCACAGGCGTGTCACGTCAGGGAAGGAAAAACTGAGGGGGCTAACAAATATTTGCCCAACTTTAGTCTTTTAATAGATTTCCCGACGTATCACAAAAAAATTTTCCGTCATGAACTTCCCAAAACGTTTGTCGTGGGGGGAGGGGGAATGTTAAATATTTCGTGCTTTTTCGACTATTTTAATATGCGTCGTGTTTCTAAGTAGAATGTGCTTGGTTTTCAAGTAGAATCTGCCCAATTTTTAAGTATAATCTGCCTGACTTAAAAACTATTGTGGCCCCTCTCCTACGCCTATGCACTAAACCCCAAACATGATTTTTGGCATGTGTGGTAATATTTGGATAATTGTGAAAAGAAATGTCATATCTCTATAGTAAAAACCTCATCTTTGACACTTTTTAACTGTCAAACCTGTCATTGAGGGTGTTGACAATGGAAAATAGTTGTTGCTAAATTTCATGTAATGACATCATACCCAGCAACTTTGGCAGTGAAAAAAGATGATAAAGACAAACTTTTTAATAAGATTTATTGCAATTTCCAAAAATTATATTTTAGGTTAATAGTGGCATGTACATTAAGAACAGTAGTAGTCAACCTCGTACCCAGTCTGAGTAGCAGTAGCGTAGCCAGCCCGACGATTTAGTCCCACTATGTAATATTTTCGTGTTCATTGACTGTGAAAACAACCAATTTCTGAAGAAATGAATAATGATAATAATTTTGAATTTGCATAGCAGGACTAAATTGTTGGGCTGCATGGCTATGCCACTGCTGAGTAGTAGTATGTCGTTGGACATTTCTGTCCTGGTATTGATGCATATGGGTTTGTTTTAATGTTTGACTATTTTTCTCAATTAAACTCTACCAAACACTGTAACACAGACTAACACTGGACCAATAAGGAAGGCCCTTATTCTTCATCTAGGCTCAGGAGTCATTTCATTAGAAGAACTGCCAATAAAGAAATATCCAGCGACTAAGTTTGATTCAAGATAACCACAACTACAAGAAGGGCCGCCGAGAGAATTTGTGGGGCCCAGGGCAAATCTTCCTCGGAGGCCCCATGACATCTTTATTTTTAAGCTAGACCCAACTAGACCTTAGCTAGACTGCATGTGGAGCTACTGTAAGGGGCCCTCAATTTCAAAAATTCTCTGACCAATTTAAAGAACCTACTCAATTTTAGGCTCTCACTCTAAAGTTGGGACCCTATTAAGGTGGAGGCCCGGGGCAATTTAGTCTAGGGGTGCACCGGAACTCGGTTCCGGCCGGTTAGTTCCGGCCGGAACCCCGATTTTTTAGAGTTCCAGTTCCGGCCGGAACTAGTAAAAAAAGCATGGCCGGAACCGAAACTCTGTCTGTTTCAGAGAGATAGAATATCAAACGTTTTTGTGTCTAACAAAAGGTCACAGTAGGAAGAAATTTGGACTACGCAAGGGAAATATACACTATAACACTTCATTATGGTGTTTAACGTTCGTCAATCTTTTTATTCTAACATTTGCAAGCTCTCTCCTTGATGACTTGAAGTGTCTGCCTGTCTGGCAGTAGACAAAGTAACATATGACTATATATGGCTTAATATATTAGTTCCGGTTCCGGCCGGAACTTCCGGCTGGAACTTTTTTCCAGTTCCGGTCGGGAACTTAAAAAAACTGGTTCCGGTGCACCCCTAATTTAGTCCCCCCTCTCAACGGCCCTGACTACAAGTGACAATTTCACTTATAATTCATTTAACACTAACACAGCCTAAGCAGTGACATAGCCAGGGGCCCAGTCCCCCTGCCAGAATATTCCCCCCCCCCCCATCAGTACAAGCATGTGCAATCATTTATATTTTCATTTCTTGAAATGGAAATTTTATATCTTCCTACATTTTAAATGTTCTGGATTCGTTTGTGATTATTAGCATATAGAGTTGTTATATGCTAAATGGTTATTGAAAATCATCAATTGAAAACACATTAAAGATGTACGCGGTACAGTCCGATCTGCGCACGTGCACAAAGGAGCCCTCTTTTTATTTACAAACAGTTTATTTAGGTTTTTATTTCATTTTATGTTTTTGCAAAGCTTGATTGTTGTCTCTTGATAATTTATTATACTCTAGAATCATGAGAATATAAATAGTTATCAAATAAAATTCAATATTTTGGATACTGAAATGTAAACAAAGCCTTTGTTTACATACAGACTGTACCACATCTTTAAACTTAAGCCTCCAAAATGCTGAAAATGGCACTTTACCAACTCTAGAATCTAAAATTTCCCTGGGGGAGCATTAACCCCCATGCAGACCCTCCTAAAAATTGATAGACAATAGTACTCTATTATACATATGAATATAGTGCTGATAGTCCAAATACATTTTCACAATAGACAAACTTTATTTGAACTAGTGCAGGGTAAAATTACTTGGGCCCCTCCAGGGACTTTTTTCAGCCCCTCTTGATTACGTCACTGAGCTTGATGTGAGCTTAAGGCTTTCAATTGTTAAATAAATAATAATATAAAATATTCAACCTTTTGAACGAGACTGCTGGATTAAGAAATGATCTCCACACTTTTTCATGGACATTGCAATATTTAGTGACTGTTTCTGTTGCATTAAGACATATTTCTTGGTCTAATGTAGCTAATTCACCACCATGTCCAAGTTGTTTCAGCACCACTGGTAAACTATTCCATGTACCATACCATACGCCTTTCACAGACTCGCTATTCCAGAAATAGTTGTCTTTTACTTCAATTGCTCCAGACAAGATAGCCTGACAAACACTTTCCCATATTCCAAAACAAGCAGGGCATTTGTCAAGCTGTAGCAATGAGTCATCTAATACATGTAGTCTGGATTTAACCATCATTATATACACAGTAACTGCCAGTGTAATACATAGGTAACTTACACAACGTAATACTCTACAACAGTAGCCATTCCTTCTCAAGCAACTAGGTCTGCAAACGTTCATTAGTAATAAAAAAACAGTCAAATCTGGAATAAATTATGAATAAATTAACTACAATTCGAGAATTCCTTTGCAAAAGCTTTGAAATTCCTACGTTTTCCCCAGAGATTCCTCCCGAATATAAAACTATAAAAGTTTGAGAAAATCCCAAGAAAATTGCGGATTGATAGCATGGAACTATAAGTAAACTTATAAAGTGTAAGTTTACTTATAGTTCAATCATTGTTACACCTAAATATACCAATATTAACCCATTACCTTAACCCACGTAAATATGTCGGTATTGTCAAGTATTGTATGCATATTCCTGTTTTCAAGGATAAATAGATCAGTGATAAATCCTCACAGCAGAGTTTCCATGGCAACACGTTGACAACTAAAAAAATCAAGATGGAGGAGAGCGAAGGCGTTAGGTTTGATCTTTTTCATTTATTTTCATTTTATTTAGCTGTTTTGTTAAATTTAACACTTCGTTTGCTTACAGGGAAGAAAGACAAGAGTTTGAATTTACAGCCAGTAATGAAGCTATCGAATATTTGGCAAATATCAGTAAGTGTCTCAACTCTCAAGTACAATTACAATTAAATATTACTAAAGGGCTATAAATTACTGTCATATTTTTTAAAAGAAACAGGCTAACCAGGCTCTAGTGTGACCTATCTATGTACTTGCATACATGAGGAAACATGATATTATATATATATGAGAAAAACCTGATCTATGTCATCTAATTATATAAACAAGCTAAATACCTGAAAAATATAAGCAGAATTTCGACGTTTCAAGCGTCACATTTATACAGAATATATTAATACAATCTGTATACCAATGTGGAAAGTTTGTAACGTGCGGCGTATTAAATTTTTGAAACCTGCGCGCAATTTCCTCAGGTGACAGGGCTGTATATTTGTATTAATATAATATATTCTGTGTGAATTACATTTTTTGTTTATATACTTTATTTTGACTAGATCCATCTTATTGGTTTATTTTTGTCACGTGATGCTTTCATATTCTTAGGGGCGGACCATTAGAAATCCCGGGAGGGGGGGTATAAAATTTTTTTCAGTCTCGTGTCTCTGCAGGAATTTTTTTTAATGCATTTAACCTCTGCACGAATTTTTTTTCAAGACTATTTCTACTTCGCTTTTTGCTTGCACGAATTTTTTTTCTCTGACGTAATGGCTGCACAAATTTTTTTTCCAGGCATTTTCCTTTGCACAAATTTTTGGGGGGGAATTTTCGTCCCCCCCCCCCTCCCGGGATTTCTAATGGTCCGCCCCTTAGTATAAAAGCTCATGTATTTTTCCCGACCCCTACTAGTAACTCCAGACGAAGGGCCCTTTGCTTGAAACATCGAAATCAGGCCTTAAAATATCTTTTCCAGGGCCGTCTGACAAAATGTCCGGTGACGTTGAGTTTGGGTCAGACATATGTCCTATGACCTTCAGTTCAGTTTTGACTCGGAAATAAGTCTGAATGACAAAAATGCATAAACGGTAAATGATGTAAACAGGCCTCGAATTTCCCTGAAATCAATCGACGGCAATGGTGCTAAAAATTTCCATAGAACGTAACAGCTGTCTACGGCAATTTTGGCAGTTTCCACGGCATTTTTCAAATTACTGTCAAAAACTTTAATTTTATTGTTACTTTGGTTTTTGACAAGCTAGAAACATGTCTACGTATTTCTTCAGTGTTTTTTTTTGAAAAGAAAACTGAGACTAAAACGCATTATTTGATCAACATCTGAATTCAAGTATCAAAAATTCAAAATAGTAATGCACAGTGAATAGTATAAAAATTGCACTATGCGGCAAAAAATTGCCGTCGTTGCTGCAATGATCCACGGCATTTTGTTCTCCCTCTACGGCAATTGCCGCGATTGCCGCGATAAAATTCGAGCCCTGGTTGTAAAGATTATTAAATAATTTGTTTCGTTCATACTTATTTCCAAGCCAAAATTAACTTGCTTGCCAGAACAGCAGTATTAAAAAAGACTTCGACAACTTAAACCCGTTTTCCACTTCACCATTTCGCTCGCCGCCCCGCGCTCGACTACGTTAAAACAACATTTCCACCTCACCTTTTATACAATAGTACTCTGATTTTCCATTTAACATACAAGCCTCTAGTCCTGGTCTAGGGTACATTTTGATTTACGTCGGACAAAGCTACAGTTCGGTCGGACACCAATATACACTTGGGTCAGACAAACAATAATTAAACCGCAGTTTCACTTTGGTCGGACAGAATGTCCGGTGGTTTCCTCTCTATGTCGGACAATTTCACGAATGGGTCGGACAATGTCCGTGACCGACCAATATTTTAAGGCCTGTCGAAAGTCTCCTTATATTTTTAAACAATAAACAATATTGAGCGTGCAAGGTATGATGGGTACAACTTCTCATTTAGAGTCCTATAAACTCAGGAAATTTGCTTTGCAACAATGCTAGAGTAGATACAACTATACCGGCATGAAAAATACAAACATAACTTTGATGAAGGGCTTTACTCGAAATGGTAAAGTTTTTTTATTTTTCAGGAACTATGGTTGCATAATAATTAATCTCCCTTAACTAATCCACAGCATTCTTGTTAATGTTGTTAAGTACACTAGTCTGGCACAGACCATTCAAATTATTACACGGGCCTGTCATTACTGTATTGGGAAATAACTTCATACTAGGTATACATTCTTATTTTAACAACGTAATGGGCGTGCACCTAGTTTCATTACTGTTTTGAAATGTCTTTGTAATTTACAATTAGTTTGGTGAAAAGTAGATTTTATTAAAAATTTGAGTGATATTATCAATATTTGTATTTTGAAAAGGATATTTGATATATATTTTCAATACTGCAACTGTAGCCTCTTATTAACTGGCTATAATCTTTGATAGCTCCACAAGACTGGGGTGCCATACATTTATCAGAAATGTTGATGACAACATCAGGAGAGAAGGTTAGTGTCTTTGCATTGTTATCAAAAGTTTGATGCACAGAACTGTAAAACGAGATGTAAACTCTCGGTGACAAGACCTTAGGGTCGGAAATAGACTAAAGTTTAATATATAATAAATTATAGTCCTGATCATTGTTGCACTTTGGCTTTGGCACTTTCTTTTTCCATTTTTCTTAAACATACACTTTCTTTCATATTTTGTGGAATATACTCTATACACCCTCCCTTGCCATAGGGAATGTGCCGGGGGCACCTTTAACCTAGTGGTCCAAGATCTCAGTGCAAATATAATAATTATTTTGAACAAAATCCAACAGAGCTTCCTAACTCTTCCATGCCATGCTGCACAATCCTCTGCCAACATCGTCCAGTTGTTCTTGTTCAGCTCGATATTCGCCAAAAGCTTTTCGAAGGCCACGCCCATATGTGAACTCTGGGCAGCCACATGGTGGAGGATTGCATAGCCAGCATGTGAGCATCTTGCAGGGGAAGCCTTCCCACTGCATTCACCAGAGTTGACATCTCGATACATATGCATCCATGGACAGAAGGTTTGTGCGTGTCAGAAAATCTGCCGTTCTGATATGATGTACGTATCCAAGTATGGTCTGTGATAAAATAAATTCTTTAAAATTTGAGAGCAAATTGGATGTTTCGTGTATGTAGCATCTTTTGAATTAGTTTTATACTGATTTCTCTATAATTTCTAGACTGGGATCATTATAATCTTGAAGTGTCTCTGCCTGTGTAGGCAGTGGCAAAAGTATGCAGAAGCTTTTGTTGCTAGGGATGCAGCTACCTGAAAAATTTAAGGAGAATTTCGACGTTTCGAGCGAAGGCCCTTCGTCTGGAGTTACTATAATTATAACTGCATCAGTATTTTATTTTGATTTTTCACATCCATTATTGTACCATACAATCCTACAGGATTTTGGTGAATTTGAGATCGCCGTTAGTCGCGGTGAGTGGCAAGGAAAGGATTGTTACATGATACATATCACAGAAGAAAATATTGTCGACAACGTACCCAAAGTCACTAATATCATTGGTATGAGTTTTCGAAATTCAACTATATTTATAGATGATGCTACTCTGAGTTGATGCTACAAAAGCTGTTGGAATCAACCTGTCAATCAGTTTGTTAGTTCACGCTCAAAGCCCGTTTCCCACTAGCCCCTAAGGATAATTTGGTTTCTTTACTATCAGCATATCTTATGAGCCTAGGTTTTTGGTTAAGAAGTCGGTTGAACTAGCAAACTAAATAAAGGATTCCCATACAGTCAAGTAATTTTCAGCTTGTGAAGTCACTCAGAGTGACGTCATTTAGCTCAAGTTCTAAGCACTGCGTAATCATTATAGACTAAATCAACTGTTTTAATCAAGTAACAGAAATTTAGATAATTGGTGTGTGTGTGTGTGTGGGG